ACACAGGGAGGGAGGGGTCTGGGCTGGAGCCTGCTTCATTTCCCAGCTGGGCAGAAGGAGATGGGCATGAGGATCTGACACTATTCCTGCGTGGGGGCCCCGAAGAATAAAGGGAGATGGCCACCCCACTAGGAAGATGGGCCACCGGAGTCCTAGGGCTTGAAAGGAGAACTGAAAGGCTGGTTGCCACAGGAAGCGGCAGCAGAAGTGCCTTTCGGTGGGGCCTCTGCAAGAGGTAAGGCAGGAGCGCCAGACGCCATGTCCAGAGAGACGTGTGCCCCCTTTTCTCAGCGGCACTAGTCACGGTGGCCTAGTGGTGGAACCATCCAAATGCCCATGGACATTCTGGGTAAAAAGAATGGGAAAAACTGTGAAGTACTGACACGTGACTAAACCTGGGAAGCACTACGCTGAGGCAGGAAGCCTGTCCCAATAGGAAACTGTGTGATGCTGTGTGTAGGACATGACCGCAATAGGTACGTCCATAGAAATAAAAGTAGGCGAGCGCTGTCTGGGGCTGGGAGGGGTATGGGGACTGGCTGCTGAGGGAGCCAGGTTTCTTTGGGCATGAAGAAAACGTTTAGGAACCAGAGAAAGTGATGGTTGCACTGTGGAGGCACCAAAGACCACTGACTCTATTCTTTAAAATGGTATGTTCTACGTTATGTGAATTCCACCTCAATTTTTTTTTTTTAATATATCTTTATTGATTTCAGAGAGAGGAAGGGAGAGGGAGAGAGAGAGATAGAAACATCAATGATGACAGAGTCTTCATTGTTGGCTGCCTCCTGCACGCCCCTGACTGGGGATCGAGCCCACAAGCTGGGCATGTGCCCTGACTGGGAATCCAACCTCAATAGCCTGGATCCTAGGTAGATGCTCAACCGCTGAGCCACGCCCAGCTGGACTCCACCTCAATTTTTAAAAATTTATCTTTATTGTTGAAAGTATTACAGGTGTCCCCTTTTCCCCCCATTGATCCCCTCCCCCTTGTACCCCTCCCCCAGGCCTGCACCACACTGTCGTCTGTGTCCATGGGTTATGCACATATACATGTAAGTCCTTAGGTTAACATTTCCCCATCTACCCACCCACCCCACCTTTCCTCTGAGATCCCTCAGTCTGTTCCATGCTTCTATGTCTCAGGATCTATTTTGTTCATCAGTTTATTTTGTTCATTAGATTCCACATGTGATGAGATCATATGGTACTCGTCTTTCTCTGACTGACTTATTTCTCTTAGCATAATACTCTCCAGGTCCCTCCATGCTGTCTCAAAGGGTAAGGGGTCCTTCATTTTACAGCTGCATAGTATTCCATGGCCTAAATGTCCGAGAAGATGCTTGATGTGATTTCAGTCTTCTTGACCTTGTAGAGACTTGTTTTGTGTCCTAACATGTGGTCTGTCTTTGAGAATGTCCCATGTGCACCTGAGGAGAATGTATATTCTGCAGCTTTGAGGTGGAATGTTCTATAAATGTCAATTAAATCCATCTGATCTAGTGTGTCATTTAGTCACTGTTTCTATGTTGATTTTTTGTCTGGAAGATCTGTCCAGTAAAGTCAGTGGGGTGTTAAAGTCCCCTATTGTGACTGTATTGCTATCTCTCCTTTAAAGTCCTCCAGAATTTTTTTTTTCCCTGCCTGTTTGAGTCTTTTGTTCTGAGGTGAGTCTTTTGTAGACGACATATATTTGGGTCTTGTTTTCTTATCCATCCAGCTACCCTATGCCCTTTGGAGCATTTAATCCATTTACATTTAAGGTTATTATTATTATTATTATTTTAAATATATCTTTATTGATTTCAGAGAGAGGAAGGGAGAGAGATAGAAACATCAATGATGAGAGAGTCATTGATCGGCTGCCTCCTGCACGCCCCTGACCGGGGATGGAGCCTGCAACCCGGGCATGTGCCCTGACCGGGAATCGAACCCTGACCGCCTGGATCCTAGGTCGCTGCTCAACCGCTGAGCCATGCCCGGCCGGGATTAAGGTTATTATCGATAGGTACTAATTTATTGCCATTTTAATTCTTTATGCCTATGTTTCTCTCTATTTCTACTTCTAATTACAGCAGTCCCTTTAACATTCCCTGCAGTGCTGGTTTGGTGGTGATAAACTCCTTCAGCCTTTTCTTTTTTGCCTGGGAAGCCCTTTATTTCGCCATCTATTTTGAATCATATCCAGCAAGGCTGAATAGAGTAGTCTTGGTTTCAGATCCTTGTTTTGCATTACCTTGAATACTTCATGCCATTCCCTTCTGGCCTGTAGAGTTTCTGATGAGAAATGAGCCTTATGGGAGCTCCTTTGTAGGTAACAGACTGCTTTTCTCTTGCTGCTTTTAAGATCCTCTCTTTGTCTTGAATTTTTGGCATTTTAATTATGTGTCTGGGTGTGGGCTTCTTTGGGTTCTTCTTGCTTGGGACTCTCTATGCCTCCTGAACTTATGTGACTTTTCCTTCACCAGGTTAGGGAAATTTTCTGCCATATTTCTTCAAATAGGTTCTCTAACCCTTGCTTACTTTCTACCTCCTCTGGCACTCCTATGATGTGAATATTGTTATGTTTCATGTTCTCCCACAGCTCCCTTAGACTGTCCTCCTGTTTTTTGTTTTGTTTTTTTTCTTTTTGGTTCTCTGATTGATCTTTTGCTACCCTGTCTTCAAATTCACTGATCTGATCCTCAGCTTCCCCTAATCTTCTGTTTGTTCCTTCCAATGTTTTTTTTTTTTTATTTCTACTATGTCACTCTTAATTTCCTTCATAGGTTCCATATCTTTTCTCATGTTGTTGAGCATCCTTGTGATCACTATTCTGAACTCTATATCTGATAGATTTTTTATCACCATTTCATTTAGTTCTTCTTCTAGAGAATTCTCTTGTTCTTTTATTTGGGGCTTGTTTTATTGTCTCCCCATTTTGGCTGCCTGTTTGGATTTCTTTCTATGTATTAGGTAGATCTAGGACTCCTAGTCTTTGGATGGTCTCTGGTGCAGGCCAATGTCAGATGCTATTTGTGACTGGCCTTGAGTACCCTGTATGAAGCTTTCTACACTCCACAGTTTGTGGCTCCCTCTGGGTATGTTTGGACAGGACCAAGATGTGCACCAAGGTCTGCTTTTCCAAGCCCTGGGTCCATAAGCAGATCAGGCAAAGACTCAAAGCACCCAGAGGCTGATAGTTATTCATAGTATCTTAAGGAGCCGCAGGCTGTAGACCATAGCAAGGTATAAACTCGAGTGGAGAGAGAGGTTTTCAGTGGGTGGGCCAATTGCTTCCCCCCAGGCAAAGGCTGCCTGGATTATAAATTTCTGCCTGAGAAAGATGTCCTCTGCTGTATGGGGGAATGACTCAGCACCAGGGTCAAGATGAGTACCCTCTGAGACCTATTCTCCCACCCAGTCCCCTTGAATTCTCCTCACACAGCTCCAGTCCACTCTCCTCTCCCTCTGCTGGAGCCCAAGGTGAGTGGCTGCACATGAAACTTTGTGCATTGGTTCTGTAAGAGGGTGCCTGCACTTCCATCTGTCTCTCCCTGGCAGACAGGAACCCTGCTGCTTTTCACAGCCAGATGTTATGTGGGCACCTTTCTCAGTTCTGGTGCTCTGGGCTGGGGAGCCCGGCCTGGGGTTTAGGCCCCAGAGTCCTCAGTGGGAACCCCCCACAGTTGAGATCTCCCTCCGGACCTTCAGCTGCTGCCTGTGGGAGCCCAGCCAGCCGTCTTGCGCCTCTGCACTTCCTACCAGTCTCTATGTGGTCCCCACTTTTTCTTCTTGGTTATGAGGGTGCTGTCCAGCTCGTCTTCAGTTGATAATTCAGGATGGCTTTTCTGTATTTTAGTTGTAATTCCAGTTTGGTCCTGGGAGAGTGTCAGTGTAGCTTCCACTTAATCCGTCGCCATCTTGGAATCTCCTCAAGTTATGATTTTAACAAATATCTTGCCTCTGCATAATGAGTCTGCAACTGTCCATTCTATGACATCTATGTCCACATCCTGTCTGCCTGACCACTAAGCCAGTCCTACATATTTCCGATTTTAAATTATGGAGGCACCATCCTAAAAGTTTCAGCACAGTATATGGTATAACAGGCTCCAAAATGCAGAATAAATGCTGTAACTATGTATTTCTTGCTCACTAAGAAGCCAAAACGAGTTTGTGACTGACAGGTTCTTCTCCATGCAGCAACTCAGGGGATTGTGTTCTTTAGAGCCGGTGGACTTACCGTCCCTGAAGCCTAGGCATCAACAGCACCCAGCAGTGGAGCTGGACAGAGCCTGGGAGGACTCTCCCTCATTTCCATGCACATTCCATCAGCTAGAACTCAGGCTCGGGCTCACCTGCTACGAGAGAGGCTGGCAGGTGCAGCTGTGTCCTCCAACGGAACGGCTGAGCTGCAGCAGCCTCCATCACACCGCAAGGCTGTGCATCACCTGGCCCCACCCACCACCCAGGCGAGGTCCCAACAGCAGCCCAGCGACCACGGCTTTGGGTAACACTCAGTTCCCGCAGCCCAGTGTGACAGCAGCCTCGTGCATTGTGTTCGGGCCATCTTACCTTCTTGCTTTTGCTCCTCTCATCCCCCACACCAAATCCTGTTTGAAGCACCTGCAGGAGTCTCCACTTTCTGACTCTGCATAGATCGCTCTTCATAGCAGGAATGGCATCTGAGGAACCATCTCTTACACACAGAAGCCTGGGGCCAGTTATCTGACCCAACTGGGTCACAGTAATGACTTGACTGGCCAGGGGAAATGGCACCCAGTTCACAGCATTCAGGGGCAAAATGGTGATTTAACATCTCACCTATTTTATGAGCCTGGGGTGAGGTGCCTCTTGATGGCAGAACTGGGAGACTGATCGGCTGCTACCCTAGTGACTGTGGTGGGGACAATACAGCTACAAAGCTCTGCTGTAGGCTGGCTGCTGGGACCACACTGGAGTCAGCAGAAAATAAACTAGACTCAGCTCAAGGCGCAGGTACAAAACTAGACAGCCTCTTCAACAGCCAGAAAAGAATCTGTTTAATATCCTGTAGCCATAGGAATGATAGAACTAAAAACATAACCCAATATTTGATCCTGCAGGCTGCAGTCACATGCCCTCTCATATAAAATTTAGGGTGTTGATTTAAAAGAAGTGGGACCCTGAGAACAGTAGAGGGAACATTTGGGTGGACTTCAGCAGATCTGAGACTCCTGAACTGAGGAAGGAACGTGTGTATGGTTGGACGCTCCATCAACGTTCCCATCACAACCCAGCTTTGCATGCAGTGTCATCTTTCCAACATCACCCCTAATTATACATGTACCTCAACACAGAACCTACCTCAGCCTTCCAAATGGTCAGGGAAATTGCAAGAAGTGTTACCTGTGTATTGATCTCCAAGACCATCTGCCACCTAAGTGGACATAAGACCTAATGACACGTAAGGGCACATCCTTTTATAGAGTGGGCAGGAACTGGGCACAGATCCTGCTCCCCTCCCCTTCCAGCCACATCGAGGGCAACAGGACCTGTTTTCTCATCCATAAGATAGGCCTGATGACTGGAATCTCCCAGAACTGCTGGGAGAATCCAGCCTGACAAGATTGTAAAGTCCTTGCAATTGCAGTGCCGGCCTCCTCCTCTTGTGTTGGGGGGCAGCACTGTAACCCCAGGGTGGGAATTAAGAGGAAAACATCCCACTCAGGAAGGAGTCCCTGGGCAGTGAGAGGAAAAACCTTCGCTTGGTTGCTTCCCACACCCTGACTGTGGATCAAACCTGTAACTTGGGCAAGTGCCCTGACCGGGAGTTGAACTGGTGACCTTTCAGTGCATGAGATGCTGCTCAACAGAGCCAAGCCGGCCAGGGCTCCCTTGATCCTGTTTTGAGGCCATATGTGACTCTACACCACAGGCTTGCATGGGTGCCCCACCTCCCTCCCCAGGACTAGAAGCCCCAAGAGAAGGCTTTTTAGGGGGAGAGAGACATGTCTAAGAGCGGCAGCTGATGTGAGGTCATATGACATCACAGGTTCTTCCAGGTAACACTTCCAGCTGCTCTGCAGGTGAGGGGAGTCCACATTGAGAGCATGACTACAGCCTCAGAGTGGTCTTTACCTCAGGTGGAGGCAGGAACCATGGCAGGGGCCTGGTAAAAGATGCAGAAGGCACGATGCCAAAGTCCCCACCCAGATCCTTATGCCACTGCTGTCTTGCCGTGAGACCTCCGCCAAACCTTGATGCCTCTCAGAGCCTTACTTTCCCTACCTGAAAACAGGGGCTGCGCTGCCAATTATGTAACAGAAGTAGGGATGGGAGGCTGGGGTACCCACCAGGCCTGCCTGCACCCCCCTCCTTACGCCCTGGGAGCTCCCAAACCTTGCTATGCCTGTTTATGCCTTGGTAAAGCGGGGCCAATAATCAGATCGCCTCGGAGATGGAGCAAGGTGGCGTGGGGACACCAGCCCATACTGTGCCTCTCCTAGAAGTCGTCCTGAAGCCGTGGGCTAGGCCATAGCTTTCGAGGAAATGTATGTCATGCAGTCTGTTCAGGAGTTTGAAAAACAACAAAGGGAGGTCTGGAGCCTTAGCCCAGACATCACCTGGAACAGGTCCTGAGTAGGAAAGGCACGTGAGTTACTGGGCAAGTAAAAATTCCACAAAGCGAGATGTGACAGAACACGGGGCCTTTGAGCAACCTGCTGGAAGCGGGCTGGGGGTGCCCTGCCTCCAGAGCAAGGGCTCCCGGGGCATCCTGCCCCTGGCACAGGTCGGGGAGAGGCCGGGATGTCAGACACATGGGGCAGCACCAAAGGCAGGCCGGCCATGGCGAAACGAGCCATGTTAACTGAGGCTCCAGGCCAGGGTCTGCAGTGTCCCTGGCCAGGCAGAGTCGTCAGCTATGCTGCTGCCTTGAGGCTCTGCTGGAGCCCGGAGCTGGCCTCAGCATCAGATGCCTGCAGTGGTGCAGCAGCACTTCAAGGCAGTGGAGGCAAGGGGACAGGTCACACTCGTATGAACTGGGGGCGAGCTGTCCCTGGGTCCTAGGCTCACAGCTCTCCTCCAACCCCAGACCCTGAGCAGCTCCTCGTTGAACGAGTTTTGTTTGCATGCTGGCCCAGGCATGGTGAATCAACTGCTGTTAGAACACAGGTGCAGGCTGGGACACAGTGGGGACAGAAACAAGCCCCTTCCGGTGCCACCTGGCCCCCTGCTCCTCAACACCCTGCTTGTCCTAGGATCCTGTGTAGGGCACCCTCCTAGAACTAGGTCACCTCGCCCCACAGGCTGCAGAGGGAGACAGCACCAGCTCGCTGAGCTACTGGAGAGTTTCATGACAATATCTGTGCTTAAACTTGGGGAGATGTGTGAGTGGGAGGGGGTGGTCCTAGGGAGGGAAAAGACAAGACCCTGGGCTGGACTGTGTCCACTCTCAGGCCTACAACCCTCCCTTTTCTTCAACTATCCTAGGAATGGGACACCTCCAGCCTTGGAAGAGAGCCAGTAGCTGAGCCCACCTCCTGCCAGCAATTCCTTTCTGGCCCACAACTCCCAGCACAGCAGGGGCCCAGGGGCTTCTCTGGCCCTCACAATAGCACACTGCAAACAGAGCTGGGGAGCACAATGGGAAAGGGGTGCCCTCAGCCGTCCTGGGAACTCCTGGAGGCCAGAATGTGCATGTGCAGGTCACAGACCATGCCCAGCCACAAGATCACCATGAAAGATGCCCTGATGTTTGGCGGCCACAAAGGGAATCCCTTTGCAGAGATATTTCTTTCTTTGGGTGCTGAGGATGGTTTTTGAGGACAGATTGCCTCCCTTCCATCTCAGCTCCAAAGGATCCTTTCTGAGGAAGCTCACCCACAGGGTGGCCAAGAGGCCAGTGAGTGGCAGGGATCCCTGTGAGGCTTAGCTGCACCTGGAGCTGGCCTCTGGGAGACTGGCAAATGGAGAGGGTAGGGTGCCACAGGGGATGGGGACCTTGGTTTCCTGCAGAGCTGACAGACAAGGAGACAAGGAGGCAAGGAGTTATGGGAATGGTACCAAGGAGAGAGCAGCCCATGCTCCCTGCTTCAGCTCTCCACCAATGCACAGCTTGGCACTCAGCATTGTGTCTGTGTGTGCCTGTGTGCGTGTGCACAGTTGTGCCTGGGCCAATGCCCAGTCTGCCCATTCCTGGCTTCACACATCAGGGAGAGCTGACCCTTGCCACCCTCTGCCAGGGCAGACAGCTGGAGGAAGAGGAGGGGCAGCGTTAACGGCGGCCACAGCTTGGCGCTGGGCCCCTCAGAAGTTGGCACATAGTTTGTTATTGCTCCTCTCAACACAGGGAACACCCTCCTTATCTGCAAAAAAGACATAGACTGAGAGGCAGTGGTGGTGGCGGGGTACCAAGACAGCCTACCTGCCAATCACAGGGCAGGGAACACAGATGGGACCCAGACAGGCCACAGGGATGCCCCATCCATGTTCCAGTCCTGGCCACAGGCCCTCACAGGCCTGCCCACGACAGGCCGTGCAGTCTTCTGAAAAGCTGGCCAGTGTCTGCCAAGCAGGAGCTGCTGGGACTTCAGTTGCTTGGCCTCCCCTTGGCCACAGTTGCTGGAGCACTGCCTGTCCTTGGCCAGCCACCTCCAGGGGCCACAGGTGAATGTCCTTACAAAATAACTGAGTTGTCGCCCATGGGACCCAGGTTTCCTGAGAGCACGCAGAATGCCAAGGAAAGGTCTGGCAGGAGCACTCCTGCCCTGCAAGCCAGGGTCACGGCTGCAGACGCTCCAGGTACTGCGGCAGTGGGTTCTCCTTGACGTACTTTTGGATGTACCAGCAGGTGAGGTGGGCCTTCAGGTCCTCCTCCACCACGAAGTCCAGAGCAGCCTGACAGCCGGGGAGAGAGAGAGAGGTCAGTGCCTGTAGCCTACACCCTGGCTCATGGCCTGACCCCCACACCTTCCAGGCTATTCCCTCCGAGGACGGGAGCTGGCTGCCCATGACACCTGTTCTACTCAGTCTGCAGTAGAGGGAGGGGTGCCGTCACCACCACCCCTATTTCAGTTGGGGAAACTGAAGCAGAAAGTGTTGGTAAACTGCCTGAAGCACATGTAATGGAAGAGAATAAGCCAGGACTGGATCCTGAGCTCCTGCCCAAAACTGCCTGGGAGGTGTTCTCCACACAGAGCAGCCAATGGCCAGGGGTGACATGGGCAGGGGCTAAACCTAGAGAACCCTGCCCCACTGCCTATCTTGTCTGTCTCACACCCATCCCAAGCTTGTCTCTACAGCTTGCCCTTTCCATTCTCAGGGCTGTGTGCTCCTGGGTGCCTCCCTAAGCTCCTCTTTTTCATGTATTCTTCATGTGACAGCTCACTTGAGGCTTCCTCCTGGAACCTTCCTCTGGAGGCTGGGTCAGGGTGCCTCAGGGCTCTCACTGCCCCCCCAGGGCTTCCTGCACCCAGCAAAAGGCACACTTAGTTATTACAAGGCTCCCAAAGGCAATGGTGGGGTAAACGATGGGGGACCAGCACACGGCTTTGGTCTATGACTGTTGTCATGGTCTCCAGTGAGGTCCGGGGATGGAGGAAAGGGTATGTGTGATGTCCGTCTCTGCCCCAGAGCCTTGTACACAGTTGGTGTTTAAAAATGTTTGCTGAGCCCTGGCTGAACGGTAGCAGGTTCGATTCCCGGTTAAGAGCACATACCTGGGTTGCAGGTTTGATCCCCAGCCCCAGTTGGGGCATGTGTGGGAGGCAACCAATTGATGTGTCTCTCTCACATCAATGTTTCTCTCTCTCTCTCTCTCTCTCTCTCTCTCCCTCCCTTCCACTCTCTAAAAATCAATGGAAAAAATATCCTTGCGTGAGGGTTAACAATGTTTGCTGAAACACCGTAGAGGGCAGCCTGGGGGTGCTGGCTCTTCTGATGAAAAAGGAAGCAGCATTTACTGAGCGCCTATGAGGTGCCTGGTGCTACGCGGTTGACCCATTTGACCTTCCAACACCCGAGCTGGCCTTCGTGTGCCTCACCATGCAGTCCACACCTCACCCTGGGGTTTACAACCTGAGAACCTCTAGTGACAAGAACCCAGTCTATTCTCTCATTTTGCTGATAAAAAACCTGAAAGCCCATGAAGGTGCCAAAGTAAGTGGCACAAGGTATATGCCCGCATGCCCTAGCCAGGCAGGGCTCAGGGAGACACGGGCAGGGCTCCCTAGGGTTAGAGTGGGGCCCAACTCCCCTTTACCCAGGTCAGTAAATCTCAGTTGACTTTATTTTAGTTAATTTTTTCCATTGATTTTTAGAGAGAGTGGGAGGGAGGGGAGGAGAGAGAGAAACATCCATGTGAGAGAGATACATCAATTGGTTGCCTTCCATACATACTCACCCTGACTGGGGCAGGGAATCGAACCTGCAACCCAGGTACCTGCCCTTGACCAGGATCAAACCCGAGACCCTTGGGTGTGTGGGCTGATGCTCTAACCACTGAGCACACTGGCTGGGGTCTCAGTTTCTTTATTGGTCACACGGAGGGTGGAGGAGGAACAGAGGCCTGGGGTGGGGTGGGGGCAGGAAGAGCAGGCAGAGGCAGGAAACTGGGCCCTCAGGAGCAGGCCTCAAGGATATTTAAGGCCGTTCTCTGGTCCAGGCTGCAGTTCCCTTTATTAAGTTCAAACTTGTTCTCCAGTAGTCTGGAGTTTGAGGTGCTTTGGGGATACAGGGGGCGGGGCAGGGAATGGGGCACTAGCCGATTTAGTTGAACATTCATGCTGGATGCTGGGGCCCCAGCCAATGAGCTCCTGACACAGCAGGGGCAGTGGCCTTGGAAGCTAAGCTATGCAGAACCTGGGGCCTGGGCTCAGAACCAGTGCTACCAGCCCAAGAGGAGCCAGAAGTGGGTGAAACATGCTGCCTGACAACCACCAGCTCCCAGCTGCAACCTGGTGGCAAGGTGGGCACCCATGTGCACTTTGACCAAGAAATAGGTTGAGGCTGCCACCAGGGCCACGGTTTCCTCTGAGTGGGAGAGCTCACCTCCTACCACCACCTCCCTACCTTGGCGAGGTGCTTGGCAATGCCACGCCCACGATAAGCATCAGGGACCTCGGTGTGCTGCAGGTCCACAATCCGCTTGCCCACGTACTCATAGAGCAGGACGGCCCGGTCATGACATCCTGCAGGGGGAGGGTGGTAAACACATAAGGCTGCGGAGACTCTAGGGGCCTGACCCAGGCATGGCAGCTGGGGTGGAGGGACAGGCATTTGGAGCCAGGCTGTTGCACTTAGATCCTGAATAACCTCTCTGTCTCGGTTTCCTCATCCATAAAGTGGGGATATAATAGGGTTGTTTGGAGAATTAAATGAGGTAATCTCCATAAAATGCTTAGAACAACACCCAGATCACTCTGGGTTACCATGAGCCTTTGTTGTTGTTCTTGGTCTCAGCACCCCAGGACCCCCAACACTCCCACAGCCCAGCTATCTGTGTCCCCACCTGAGCTCCCTCCAGAGGGTCTGGAGTCCTAGGCTCAGCGCTGGATGCAGAGCAGGACTTGGCAAGCCCCCAACTAAACCAGAGCCTGAAGAGATGAGAGCAGGTCAAGAGGTGCATCAGGACTACTGGCCAGGCCCATGGAAGGTCAGAAGGTGTGGCACCAGAGTCCACAGGAAAGTGACACTGGGTACATAAGCAGGAACAAGCTGGCCTTTGTTCCTTCACAGTCCTGCCAAGACTGGAGCTCACCAGTCCATCCCAAAGTCCCAATAACTGGGGTTCCTCTAACCAATGTCTTTAGTCCCATCTGTCTCTGTCCATCCATCCATCCAACCACATCCATCCATCCATCTCCCATCTGCCTGCCCATCTACTTACCCATTCATCTCCACACATCTATCCGCCAGTCCCATTTAACAAATGTTTACTGAGCCCCAGACACTATTTCAGGTGCTGGGAACACAGCAATGACCATGCCGGACCAGACCCCTCTCTTATGAAACTCACTAGAACAGGAGACGGAACAAAGAAGTGTTGGGGGTGGGGGAGGGGGAGTGCTGGGCAGAAATGAGGAGGAAGTGGGCCATGGCTGTCTAGGGAGCAGCGTCCAGGCTGAGAGAACAGCCAGTACAGAGGCTCTGAGGCAGGAGTGGCCAAGGGAGAGGGTGGAGCAGATGAGGGCGGGGAGGG